TTCAAACTGGGACAAAGACATTTTGGGTTTTTTTCTTCCTTTGTCCCTGAGCAGTTTCTCTCCAGCTACTGAGTGGGACAGACAAAATGTCCAAAGAAAGACTCTTCGCTATCTGTAAGTAGGGTAAAGTTTAGATAAATCCATTAGGTTTTATTATTTTATGGTTTGGGAATGGGAATCTGATGTCTGTGCATTTAAAAATGGGTTTTCCTCTACTTTGTAACTAAGTTTTGACCCATGGTGGAATCCCCTCATGAGTATATTAATTGGTGACTTTTCCATCTAGTCATTACCCTGGCAATAGGAATATTGTGGTGATAATAAAAGTTTTTCCCCTTTCTTTTTATTAACCTGTATTGGTTAATTTTTGTGTCCTGGTTTTACTTTTGAGGCTGAGATTTCCCAAGTGGTCTCTCCCTGGTTTCTTTATTATTACTTGGGTGGTGGCAGCAGATTTCTTATCCCCAAAATCTAGGATTTTAAGATTTTTGGGGGGAAGCTTTATACCAAAGCCTGGAAAGATAAGGTTTTGGGGTACTTTTGCAGGCTCCCACTTTTGCATTTATCGTGCCAGAGTGGGGAAGAAGCCTTGACAGGGGGATTTGCCAGTAGCCTTTTGTTAAGTCCATCGTGGTAATGTACTCTGTCTCCCCAAGCCCATCCAGCAGCTCATCCAGCCAAGGCATGGGGTATGCATCAAATTTGGACATGGCATTTACCTTCCGGACATCAATGCAAACCGGGTGCTCCCATCAGGTTTAGGGACTAAGACTATTGGGCTCTTCCAATCACTGAAGGACTCCTCAATTATCCCCAATTCCAGCATCGACTGAAGTTCTTATTTCACCACATCCTTCAATGGTACCGGATCCTAACCCCAGGTTCCATCTGGATGTGATGGATGGCCAGGTGAGTTCAACCTGGTTTCACCGAGAAGTCAGAGGAGAATTGGGTGACTAACTGCTGGGGCTGAAGCTTCTGTTCAGGGGTGAGTTTAGACCCAATCTAGACTTCTGGTTTTGCTGTATCCTCCGCCTAGGGCCCCAGTTCCAGGTCTGGTGGGTAAGGTGTTATTAGTAACCCTTCCTGGGCTTTCCAGGGTTTTAAGAGATTCATATGGTAAATCTGTTTCACTTTGCACTTGTCAGGCTGGTGCACCTCATAGTTTACTGGGCCCACTTGCCGGAACACCTCATAAGGCCTCTGCCAGCAGGCAAGGAGTTTGGAATCTGCACTGGGCAGCAGCAGTAGTACCAAATCCCCTGGTTGGAACTCACAGAGTTTTACACGTTTGTTATAAGTTGCCTCGTGAGCCCTTTGGACCTGGAGGAGGTTCTCCTGAGAAAATGTACCTAGCGCTTCAAGCCTCTCTCAGAGGTTAAGCACATGTTGTATTATGTTATTACCTTGGGAGGGTTATTCCTCCCACATATCCTGAACTAAGTCCAAAATCCCACGTGGCTGCCTTCCATATAAGAGTTTAAAAGGTGAAAACCCTGTGGAGGCCTGGGAGACCTCCCGGACTGTGAACATGAGGGCCGGGAGGAGCTGGTACCAGTGGTGCACATCCATTAGAACAAATTTGCGGAGTATAGCCTTCAGGGTCTGGTTGAAAAGCTCTACTAGTCCGTCCATTTGGGGGTGGTCAACGGATGTCCGGAGTGTCTTGATTTTTAATCACCAGCAGAGTTGCTGCACTGTCTGGAACATAAAGTTTGTTCCCTGATCTGTTAGGATTTCCTGAGGGACTCCGACCCAAGCAAAGATGTTCATCAGCTCAGTCACCACTCTCTTGGCACTCATGAATCATAAAGGCACAGTTTCGGGGTACCGGGTTGCATAGTCAACTGCGACAAGGATGAACTAGTATCCAGCAGCACTCTTCTCCAGCGGGCCAACTCGGTCCACCCCAATCTGCTTGAAGGGTACAATTACTCTTCCACTCGTGGGAGGGTAATTAGTGGGGCTTTCTCCACTGGCCGGGGTGCCGTGAGCTGACACTCTGGGCAGGAGGCAAAAAAGTCTGCCAGCTCCCAGTGGATCCCGGGCCAAAAGAAGCAAGCCATGATCCGAGCCAGAGTCTTTTCCCTCCCCAGGTGTTCCGCCATGGGGATGGCATGGGCAAGCCTCATGACCTCCTTCTGATAAAGCCAAGGTACCAGGAGTTGGTGGTGCACTTCTTCCGTTTGAGGGTCCTTCTCTACTCAGTATAGGCAGTCTCCCCGAATTTCAAAAAGGGGGAACCGTCCCACTTGATGGGGCCCCGGGGTCTCCCCATGTACTACAGCCACCTGGTCATATGCTCTGCTCAGGGTCTTGTCAACTCTTTGCTCTCCCACAAAGTCCAAGGGGCACATTAGGACTGCCGATTCGGGTAATGAGGCTGGCTCCCTTTCAGGCTGGTTGGTGCCTGGGTCCTCTTGGGTTTGTGCTGGGCCCTGGGAGGTCCCCTCTCCCAGATCCGCCACTTCCCCCACTCCAGCAAGAGTTGTGGTTTCAACTTGACTGGCTCTCAAAGACTAGGGTTGCCGTTCCATAGCAGAAGGTTTAATGACTTCTGACAGCAGTTCCCCAAAATATCCCTAGTCTCTGCCCAGTATCACTAGGTAGGTGAGGGTTGGGGCCAGGCCAACCATTAAAGGCTCTTCACACCTTCCTACTTGTAAGGTCACCTGGGAGCGGGGGTAGGTTTTCAAGTCAGAAATTAGTTAAACAGAAATTAAAAGGCACAGTGACTAGAGCCAAATCCCTGAAAGCTGCATGGAAACTTTTTAAAGACACCATAATAGAGGCCCAACTTAAATGTATACCCCAAATTAAAAAACATAGCAAGAGACCTAAAAAAGAGTCACCGTGGCTTAACCACCATGTAAAAGAAGCAGTGAGGGACAAAAAGGTATCTTTTAAGAAGTGGAAGTCCAATCCTAGTGAGATAAATAGAAAGGAACATAAACACTGTCAAATCAAGTGTAAACATGTAATAAGAAAAGCAAAAAAAGATTTTGAGGAACAGCTAGCCAAAAACTCAAAAAGAAATAGTTTGGGCCACTTTCAGCTGTTGGTGTCGGGGTGCCCTTGGTTGCTCTGGGGCCCAAAGAGGGTGTCGTCCCTGGGGACTTGGCCACGAGATAGTTCTCCATCAACTGGATGGCTGTGGTTATGCTATCAAGGTGGTTCTGCATCATCCATTCCCTCCTACCAGAAGGTAGAATCTGGGTGAACTGTTCAAGCAGGATCTGCTAGGCAACCTGCACTCCTGTCTTTGTCTCTGGCTTCAGCCACCTTCAGCAGGCATCCCACAGCTTCTGGGAGATGAGGTGGGGTCGGGCTCCTGGAGAATACTGCTCCCCCCAGAAATGTTGTCTAAACGTTTCCTCCGAAATGTCCAGGGCATCCAGAATCGCTGCTTTGACCTGGGTGTAGTCCTGAGCGGCGACAGGGTTCAGGGCACGGTAAGCAGTCTGGGCGACCTCCATCAGATATGGGGCCAGGATTGCCGCCCGCTGCACTCAGGCCCGTTGGGCTACCACAGCCACCCACTTGAATGTTTCCAGGAATTCCTCAGGATCATCAGCTGGTCCCATCTTAGCAGGGCTGACCCGTCCATATAGGTGAACTAGGCGGTCGCCTAGGGCGCCAGTTGCTGGTAGCAAGTCTAGGGCCACCCCTGCATCTTAGCAAGCTTGATAGGTGCCAGTGCAGGTGTCGGCAGCTCGGCCAGGGTCCTGGGTTGTAGCAGAGAAATCACATGCTGCATCAGCTGTTGTTGTTGGGCTGCTAATTCTCCGATTAGCTGTTGCTGCTGCTGGGCCATCTTCTGGAACATCTGCTGTTGATGGCAGAACCAGCACCTGCCTCCTCGCTGGTCAGCACCTAACTGAGCTAGGCTCCCTACTTTCATTCTCCCTCTAGACCTGGCATTGGCTGCAGGTGAAACGGGGTGGAGCTAATTGGGCAAAAAGGCCTTGTTTAGCCCCTGCACTGCCAGGCCCTCCTCTCACTCCCTCACAAGACATTATTATTGTTGATCATTTGCTTAGCATAAACACAACAAACAGGAAACACAGGTTCAGGAGTTAAATTAAGACACTCTTTGAGCCAATCAATATCATATTATGATGCTGTGAGGCAGCCTATCAGCATGTCACAATGTTCACATTTATACTGAAGGAGAAACAGTTAGAGGAGAACTTACATAAAGAGAGAGGTCCTAGATGTTTACAGGGGAAGATCCTTCAGACCCCTGTGGTAATTGTTGGTACACCATAAATAGGAGTCTGTTCTGTATTTAAGGGGCAGTATGAAGGAAGGTATGATGAAAAAGGGAAAAGCTTATAATGCAGTCAGTGAGAAAGAGGTGTGGAGCAAAAGGACAAGAGGAAGAGTAAAAGAAACCAGATCAGAAATATAAGCAGGTGCGGAGTTGTGGAGTGCCTTGAAAATCAGAACCAGAAGCTAGAACTTGGTAAGGAAGGCAGAGGGAAGACGGTGAAAAGATTAAATAAGATAGGACAGGAAAAAAAATTGGTCAGGTTACCCAGAAAACGTGACATCATTTGTGATATTAGTAGGGTGGAAACTTACAATAGACTGTAAAAAGACTATTTACTTATTTCTTCATTTTCTTAAATAACTTACCTAACCATAGCTTTTGCTAAGCACTAGCTAATTCTTTTTCCTCTACTTTCTATAAAAGCCTTTCTAGATATGCTAGAATACCAATTGTGAACTAGAATTTAGACCTAATTATTACATCTACATTAAGTTGTTTAGGGTGAAATGCATTTCTGGTTTAACTATATCACACTCAATTGAGTTACACCAGAGATAAATTTGGCATTTTAAAAAAATGTAGATATTTTTCAAACTACCAAAGAAACAAACATTAATAGGATATTTTAATTTGTATCAAAGTTTCTGTTCATAAGCTATATCTACATCAACTGTATTCCCACAAAATACAATCTAATTACAAAAAATTAAAAACTGAAGACTCTTACTATTAGAAGCCATTATCCCAAATACCATGGTGGCATTTCTGCGCACAAGTGGGTCTTCATGTGAGATTAGTTTAAATAAAGGTTCCACAGCTCCAAGACCTAGGAGTGTCACTTTGTTTTCGTCACCTAAATAGTAATTAGGTTTAAATTTCAATGTGAATTATTAAAAATTACCTGAGACCAAAATGCAATAAAAAGCCATTCATAGTAACATATTAATATAAGGTATTACATATTAATATAAGGTATCATTGATATAAATGCCTTTATTGGACTACAGAATATATTTCAAATAGTATCAAAGTGATCTAAAATCAAGCAGTCTAACATAATATTGTCATTAAAATTCACTGATGGAATTATACTCCTAAAACCCCTTAAACATAGTACATTATGTGGTTCACATAGGTGTGATGTCTCATCCAGGGATGGACTAAAGCATAGGTACTAAATGCCTGGGTTTAAGACCCCAGCTCTTGGAGTCACGTGATCACATCTGATTCCTCATGAAGATATAAATTGTTTCTAGACCATTTGTAGAAAAAAGTTTGAAAACATGAACCAAGCATAACTTCTTGTCTTCACACAGCCTGAAACAACAGCTCTGAAAGTTGTGCACTGCCCTATCCATCTCAATGGAGTGTTGATCTCAGGATCACTAAGCTGGAGGAATATTACCAACATCAACCTAATAAAGGAGCAGGAGAAAAGCAGAATTTGTGCCACTAGCCCAGAGGTTTCCAAAGTTTTGCTGACATGACCCCATTTTAATGAAATTTTTCCTGCTGGAACCCTAGGCAGCATGAAGGACACCATTTTGAAGAGTAAACTGACATTCTCTGCACAGTTGGCCCTCACACACCCCACACATACAAAGTCATTCTGTGCACGGTCAGGATGCATACGTGTGAGGTTCTGCTGCCTGGAACAAAATAGCATCCTCTGCACATTAAAGATTGCTATGACTCCCATCTGTTGATGGCAATTGTATGGAGAGTATTGCTCAGTCCCTGCAGCCTCCAGTGGCAATATACCCAGTCACTCTGTGGGTATGTTACATGCATAGTCCAAACACTCAGTAAACCCATGTATGGATGGCCATGCTCAATATAGAGAATAATTTTACAATTAATCAGCTACTTTGTAAAATAACTCTACTGGTAATGTGTAAACAGATTTTTCCAAAGGCTCATTCCTATCTTGTTCAATTAGAGTGATTTTTCACAGAAATAGCAAAGCCACATCACTGAGATTAGGGCAACCCAACTTCTCTTTGCCAAATTTCAAGTCCTTGCTACAGCTCCACCAAAAACCTGTACAATCAATTTGTTAAAACAGTCAAAACAACGTATTTTCCCTTAATATAACTCTTGGAAATGCCTTCTGGAAAGTTTCACTGAAAATAAGACTTAGCCTGAGACAGACATCCCGCATGGAAAATTTCCACTCAAGTGGTTAAATAAATTCTGGCAAAATTATAAGAACTGAAAACCAAGTCTTATAATTGTTGGGAAATCTTAACAAATCCATTTTTGGAGAAGCCACAAATGGTATGAGCCCTCAGGTATTTTTGTATGGCAGAATAAAAGCACCAAAGCATCTGACATGGCAGTGGGCACCATCAGGGAGCACACTCTGGAAATGTTAGCTGCAGAAAAGGCAAAAATAGCCTGGGCAGACAAATTTTTGTACTGTACGTAGGTCCCTATTATAATGCAAATAAATAATCACATTAATTGCTTCATAAGTGAACCTGAGAATCTAAAACTTCATTTAAAAATGGTTATCAAATGTGAATAAAATGTAAATAAATGTACTGGTATTTGCCTGAATCTACAGACAGACTAAAACAATAGCTCTGAGGTACATTGTCATGGCCTTTAGTTGGCTGCACAGAATGGTAAGGGGAGTAAAAGCTCTCCTTTTCTCCACTATATAGTCCAGCTCAAATTATTACTCTTGCCACAACGGAAAATGTAGGAGCTGATTAGCCAACCATCTTCACTTAAAGAAAATAGGCAGGGAGGGAGCGGAGTACTATGTACTGGCCAGAGTAGCTGACCAAGCAGCGAGGAGACAGCTGCTCCCATTAAAAGGGGTGAAATAACTTACTCTACACTGCAAACAAGTAGAAGCAGAGAAAGAATTGTGTGACTCTCACTGTTTCAGTTCATTCTCTAGTATGTTCTTGTGGCTGTGCAGCTTTATATCAGGGTTATATCTTCACTCAAAAAGTAACTCATGTTATCAACACTCAAGTTACTCATTTCAAGTTAACCTTGCTTAAGTGACTGCAGCCACACTATGATGTAATACTCAAAATGCCGTGTCTGAGCTAGTGTTCTACTCACTCACTTGTGGTGCTAAGACTACTGGGGGCACAACTTGTGGTTCTTAGCACTACAGTAAACTGAGCTGCTCCATGAATTCTTTTCCAGTGAATTGTGGAAGAACTCACTTGACTGGCGAAGTCCGTACACCCTATTGAGCTAGCCAACTCAAATTAAAAGAACCACTGCATCATTTTTGTGTGTGGATGGGACTTAAGGTAGAGGCACTCAAGCTATTACCTGAGTCAACTTTGCAGTGAATCATAGAATCTTAGGGTACGTCTACACTGCATTCCTCTTTCGAGAGAGGAATGCAAATGCAGCCAAGCGAAATTGCAAATGAAGGGCAGATTTGAATTTCCCGTGCTTCATTTGCATAATCGCATCCAGCCGTTATTTCGAAATACCCTATTTAGAGATAAAAAATGCCACGTAGACACAGTTATTTAGAAAGAAACCCCTTCTTTCGAAATAACCATTAAACCTAATTTTTAAGGAGTAAGGGTTATTTCGAAAGAAGGGGTTTCTTTCAAAATAACTGCATCTACACGGCATTTTTTATCTCGAAATAGGGTATTTCGAAATAGCGGCTGGACGCAATTATGCAAATGAAGCGCAGGGAAATTGCAAATCCGTGCTTCATTTGCAATTTCGTTCAGCTGCATTTGCATTCCTCTCTCGAAAGAGGAATGCAGTGTAGACATACCCATAGAGCTGGAAGAGACCTCAGGAGGTCATCAAGTCCAGCCCCCTGCCTAGGGCAGGACCAATCCCAACTAAATCAACCCAGCCAGGGCTTTGCCAAGCCGAGACTTAAACACCTCTAGGGATGGAGACTCCACTACTTCTCTAGGTAAGCCATTCCAGTGCTTCACCATTCTCCTAGTGAAATAGTTTTTCCTAATATCCAACCTGGACCTCTCCCACCACAACTTGAGACCATTTCTCCTTGTTCTGCCATCTGTCACTACTGAGAACAGCCTCTCGCCATCCTCTTTGGAACCTCCCTTCAGGAAGTTGAAGGCTGCTATCAAATACCCCCTCACTCTTCTCCTCTGCAGACTAAACAAACCCAAATCCCTCAGTCTCTCCTCATAGATCATGCTCTCCAGCCCCTGCTGGACCCTCTGCAATGAACTGGACCACAATACTTCAGATGTGGCCTCACCAGCACTGAATAAAGGTGAATAATCACTTCTCTGGATCTGCTGGCAATGTTCCTCCTAATGCACCAAATATGCCATTATCCCTCTTGGCTACAAGGGCACACTGTTGACTCATATCCAGCTTCTCATTCACTGTAATCCCCAGTTCCTTTTCTGCAGAACTGCTACTTAGCCAGTCGGTCTCCAGCCTGTAACAATGGTTGGGATTCTTCTCTCCCAAGTGCAGGACTCTACACTTGTCCTTGTTGAACCCCATTAGATTTCTTGTGGCCCAATCCTCTAATCTGTCCAGGTCACTCTGGACCCTATCCGTGCCGTCCAGTGTATCTACCTCTCCCCCAGCTTAGTGTCATGTGCAAACTTGCTGAGGGTGCAATCAATCCCCTCATCCAGGTCATTAATAAAGATGTTGAACAAAACAGGTCCGAGAACAGATCCTTGGGGCACTCTGCTAGAAACCGACTACCAACCTGACATCAAGCTGTTGATCACTACCCGTTGGGCCCAACGGTCTAACCAGCTTTCTATCTATCTTACAGTCCATTTATCCAATCCATATTTCCTTAACTTACTGGCAAGAATTTTGTGGGAGACTGTGTCAAAAGCTTTGCTAAAGTCAAGATATATCACATCCACTGACTTTCCCATATCCACAGAGCCAGTTACCTCATCATAGAAGCTAATCAGATTGGTCAGGCATGACTTGCCCTTTGTGAATCCATGTTGACTATTCCTGATCACTTTCCCCTCTTCCAAGTGCTTCAGGGCCGGAGAGCCTATCCAGCACTGGCCTTTTTGTTAATGCGAGCTTCTTTATCTGTTCATGTTAGCTCCTTTGTAATCAGCAATTCAGCTGAGATGTTTATTTGTGGGTTCGCCATTTTTTTTGGTTCAAAACAACAGGTGAGCCTCCATTTTGATTAGCCTTCTTCTTCCTTGCTTAGGAAAAAGGTGGAAAAACCGGGAAAAAGCAGGAAAATGTTGCTAGGTAAGTGGAGCGCACAAATAGAGGGCGCTCAGAGTGGTCTCTCTTTCTCTAGCTTGCTCACTGAAAGGATGCAGTGAGTGCTGCTTCCCTGAGTGAAAGGACTCCTCAGAAGACTGATCACTGGCTTGGAGTGACAGCTGCTGTTAAGGTGGAATAACATCTGAAGGTATTTGATCATTGGGGAGCACACTTGCAAGCACCGATCATCTTGAATAGACAGGGCTAACACACACAAGATGATGCAAAGGGGCTAGGCTGGGTTTGGAGTTGGGGCCAAACCTAAATTCCTACCACTGCTTGATCATTCCCAATCCCTGTCATCCGGACAGAAAACTGGAAGTCAGCTTTCCCTGCAGCGGGGTAAGACAGAAGGCCTAACATTCACTTCCTCTTTCCTGTTGTGCATGTTTGATTGTTTGTCTGTGAGTCCCTCAGTTTACAGACCCAGTTATTCCATCCTTCCCTAGTCCTTTTTACCTTCCCTATCCCATAGATAATAAAGTCTTTATAACTTTGTGTGTGAACGCCTCATTTGGTACTCTGATAGACAGATGAAAAGGGTGAGAACCAAATAAGAGTTTAGGTGGATCTCTTTGGAGTCCCCTTTCTCTTACATTTTCTCTTCCACCACCACCATCCGCGCCACGTGCCCCCTGGCTACCAGCAGCCCTTTTCTCTCCCACATAGCCTCCCCAGCCACCAGGGTCCATTTTTCTCCCCCTCCCCACCAGTCTCCTCCCCACACACCCCCCGCCACAAGGAACTCT